TCTCCCAAGAAGTAGCTGGTGATTTCGAACTACTGACCTTTCAGTTAACAGACTAGCATATAACCACTATACCACCAGGTTTTCTACTTGACCACTAGGCATATGGAAAACGATGTTATGCTATAATAAAGCCTCCTTCTGATGTAAACAGGAGAGCAGTGATGGCTAAATGATAGCATTCTTACCTTCTGTTTGAGAGAGCTAGGCTCAATTCCCTCCTACTAAGATACCACCAGCCTGTCAGTGGAAGTTTGTATACTGCCTATGATGCCAAGCAAGGTCAATGTAGCTTCCAAACTAAGAGGTCTAGGAAGAAAGGCCAACGATTTCCTTCAGAAAACCAGTCAATGAAAAGCTCACAGATCACAACCATCTGAGCTCCAACCAATCACTGGGCTGGCACAGGATCAGCTAGTGTTTGGATGCATTGTACATGGGGCTCACGAACAGCTGACAACAACTTCTATGATAGAGGACTCGCCTGCTCCTAATCATTGAGCTCAGTCAGGTCAAGGGAATGGCCTCAGAACATAGAGTAGTGTGCCCCAGCTCATATAAAAAACAGTAGTAGAAAGATTTTGGAATAGCAGGGTCAGCTTCACAGGTCTACGGGTTTATCCGGTTCTGTCATTGAGACTTGAGGGCATTAACCTTCCCTTGAGTGTCAGTGTGCCCGGGTATATGACAGCCACATCCCCTTCACTGATGGCAAAAGAGATAAAGCCTTGTAATGCATGGACAAGTGTTGCACAGACTAAACACACAACATATGCTCATTTGAGAGCAACAAGGACTTGAGAATTTTTTTAAAAAACCACCCACCAAGGGTTCTCCAAATTCCTAGCTGAGCATGCCAGTCACCAGGCCCTTTTTATCTCTGTTTTGACTGGCACAAAGTCAGTTCTCAGACTCCGATAAAGGTTACTTCTTGTCAGTGTTGTCTGCTTCCCTTTGGACACTCGTCCTTCTGGGGTTTTCCCTTTTCTTTGCTTCTGTTGATGCTTGAAATGAAAACAGAGTGCAGTGTGTTTCTGGGTCTGTGTCGCATGTGACTTAGGAGTCTCCCAACAACCCAAGAGAAAGTCTGCCCAGTGTTTGCCATTGACAAGCAAAAGCGTTCTCTCGATTTGTCTAAACGCTGCTGTTTGTGTGCAAAGGAAATGTTCCATTTCCTCTCCACCTGGCTCTCTGTAGGATCCATAGATGGATAATTCCTCAGGCTCTCTGGAGGGGTCTATCAGAGTGATTTTCAAACACGTGTTTTGGGAATAAAACTCTATTCTGTGAATGAAATATATCATTCATTGGCTTCACATTCATCCCTTATTTCCAGCCCAGGGGTTAAAATCATGTTATCCTGGAAATAATCCTTAGGGCATCGAGTCCAAAGAGAAAAGTGGAGCCATCTCCCCAGAGCAGCTTTGCTATGGTCTAAGCTCAAGGGGAACTTGAGATGGGAAACCTACGTCCTGCAGCCTTGTTCACCATCCATAATACAAGATGTTCTTGGAGTCCACATTGAGAAAAGAAGTTAGGTATGCACATTTTGGCAAAGACGCAGACGGGGGATTCAATCTGAGCAGCTGTAACATAAAATAATAAAGTTCAAGTACAAACAGCAAAAATGTGCCTCTATCATAGCACAGAGTGTGCCAAAGCTGACTGAATAATGATACATCTTTTTATGTCCCAATAACGTACTTAATTGGCATTTTGTGGGACACTGCTGGGCAAGGGTTCATAGTGTCAGTGTTGGCCTGGAGCCTGCTTCCTGCTGCCCTGGCACTTCCCCATCTTCCCCATTAGCTCAAACCCCATGGAGAGATGAGGGCCAGACAGAATGAGACACCTTCTCCTCGTTCCCGCCCCCTCTGACTCCCTCAGTTTATTGGAGTCCACCCAGCGGGAGAAAAAAAAGCAGGGCAAGTTGATAAAATGTGTGTAGGCAAGTGTTTTCAGCTCCTCCACTGTGTATTTGACTAAGGAAACCATAAAAACCACAGTCATTTGGACAGCTATGTATAGTTTACAAGCTCTTTACAAGTGCATTTTCTAAACGTCTCACAAAACGCAAGGGGAAATTATTATTTTTTATTACTCCCCATTTAGGGCTATAGAAATGAAGACTCAGAGAGGTCAAGAGACTTGCCTAAGGACAAACAGCTATAAAAGCCAGAAATGGGGCTGGATCCGATTCTTTCTGCCTCTCTCACCTGCATCTCACATTTGCTGCATTGCTGTGGGCTCTCTCCTCTGTAACCACGACACAAGAGTCAATCTGATGTTCTGCCTCAAACCCAAGCTGGGAAAGTCAGTGACTTGGAAAGTTTCTGGGTAGCTCTCTGGTTCTCCTAGCTCAGGACTGAGATAAGGTTGCAGGTTGGAGTTGGGGTAGGTGTCCCTGCGGGAGCAGATGGTCAATGGTAATGTAACTCAATTGCTAACCAGCAAGTTGAAGGTCAGTAACTGGTTAGGTAGGAAACATCAATTATCCCTTTCCGTTTGGAAAAGAGAAGAGGCAGAAAACTGGTATTTCTTTGTGATGTGCTATATTCTGTCATGGGGCCCCAAGAAGAAGATATGGTGGTATTTTTGTGTCGTGGAACTTCTACAATAATGTCACAGAGACCTGTTGTCATCAGTAGCTTGCTGCTTCAAGTCCTTTAATTTTCATAACCCTTTCCCTTCGCTGCTTTGTGGACCCCTAAGAGGCACGGAGGGAGTTGAGCTCACGCCCTATTTCAGCAGCTTCTGTTTTTTTGCTCTCAAAGAGAGCCAACTTCTAGAGGTCTGCACTGCAACAGAGAAGATTTGGGGTGCAAGCAAATAGGGACGAGTTTGAATGGGGAAGACCTTGGGGATCACTGATCTAACTTTTTAGAGGTAATACCTTCAGAGAATTCTCAAAGGCTCTCCGAGATTGAGTCCACAGGGAGGGAATACAGGGCATTATCCATAATGAAGTATTATCCCTGCCATTCCCTTCTTAGCATACTTCCAAGTTCTGACTTCTACTGTCAAAACAGAAACAGGGCTCCTGGAGGCATTTTGTGGGGACTGAACCAGGGCAAGGCCAGGAACCCAGGTCAGTTCTACAACCAAATTCCAATCAAGCGGAGTGCAGTGGGGATCATTTTCTGGTTATTTTAGTGCCCTGGCTAATTGGGAATTAAGTAGGGTAGATTGTACATATTTAAATCTTTCTTTGATGATTGAGAAGCTTGCAGTGCCCTAGAGTAATCATTTCAAATATCATCCATGGGCTCCCACCGGTGGAAATTCAGGAAATAGAGTTCAACCTGTAGTGGCTTCCAGGTCAACTGCAGGAAATTCATTTTCATGAAACCCATATCACCTAATTGTTATTTTCTTCTTTTTCTAGACAGCGAGTACAAGGAAAATTCTATTCACTAGAGGCTGCCCGCTGTTTGAATCACAGTTAGCGATGGTTGTCATATACTTCTCGGAATTTAGAAGGGTGCTCAGAATGCTGACATATTACCAGATGTATTAGATAAAATGTGCCAGATACAGCTCACTTAGGCTTGTTTCCCCAAATTCACCATGAGATCCAGTTCTCCTTCTAAGAACTCTGGCCTGGCAGACCTTCCCTTACTTGTGTCGGATAAAATGAGTCAAAAGACACTACGCCAGTTAACTATTTGAAGTCTTTATCTAGTGCTAGTGCTAGTGCCCTTCCTTAATATGTGGCGACATCGTTTCCTTCAGGGACTCCATCTCCCAATCACTATATGGAAAGTTTGGATTTACAGGTTCTTAGATGACTAGAGGAGCCCTGGTGCCATAGTGGGTATGCCAGTCCTAAGATCAAGAGTTCAAAACCACCAGCTAATCTGCTAGAGACAGATGAAACTTTCTCCGACTTATAAAGAGTGACAGTCTCGGAAAGCCACAGGGGCCGTTCTACCCTGCCCTTTCAGGTGGTTCTGAGTCAGCCTTGACTTGAGAGCAGTGAGTTTGGTTTTAGATTGAGACTACTGAGAGGCATAGATTTCCTTAAGAATCAGAAGAACACCATGGAAGTTTCCCCCAGCGGGAGAAAGTGCACATCAGTGGGAAACCTTACATTCTAAATGTGAGATAGGACCACAGACCCTCTGAAACCTACTGTCATGTGATTTATGTCCATGGACTTCAGGATTAAAATCCTGGGATAGAGGATCCTTGGACCTTTTAAATCCAATGAAGCGAAGCATCTTTCCAAATCTAGAGAGTAGTGGTCCTCAACCTCAGCTGCATATGAGAACCACCTGAGGAGTTTTATAACCCCAATGTCTGGTTGCTTCCAGACCAATTAAGTCTGTTGCAAAGGCCCGGAAGCAGAGAACAGAGTTCTCTGTTGCAAAGGCCCGGAAGCGGCACTTTGTAACACACTCCCAGTGGATCCAGTGTGCACACAAGGCTGCAAAATGCTGCTACAAATTAAGGATTCTCATCATTGAGAATAAGCAGCATCAGCCAAGGCGAATACGCGTCCCCAAGCTCCACACTCTCGGATTTACATTTCTTGTAGCTGGACCCTGCATTAGGTATATGCATTGATGCAGAATGTGATCTGGGATTATGATCTGATGCAGATCATAAAGTGGCTCGGCAGGGGAAGGCCAGAGGGGTCCTCTCCCCGGCGCAGTTCTGTACCTGGTAGGTCTCCTTGTCCTGTGATCATGCTTGAGCGGGGCTCCTTTCTTCACCAGATAACACGTTCGCCATCTTTCCTGTCTCTAGTAAACCTGGATCTTTTAGTTTGAGCCTCTAAGTCTCCTAAGTTGAATCATTTAAGCAGAGCAATCATCAACACCAGCGTGTTTAATATTTAAAGGCCATAGCATCACTTAGGTCAGCTTCAAGGTGAGAGCTGCTGACTGCTGTTCCAGTGCCGCTTAGCAAATCAGGCTGCCAGAAGGGACTGCGCCAAGGCAGGCCAGGCCTGGGCAGATACCCAGCCAGCTAGGTTCTGTGCCACCTTAGCCTCTTCCTACCTGAAGGGTGTGCAGCAGGACCTGCAGCCCACTGGCTTCTTGTTCAGCCATCCCCTCCTCAGATCCTGGGGAACCGTCTCCCTGCCGCCAGACCCGGACTGGAGAGGCAGCAGCGGCCACTCTGACCTCGCTGTCCGCCTCGCAGGAGACTTGTGCTCCGAGGCCCCAGCTGCACATGCTGCTGAGTGTGAAGTCACAGCATGCAACCCTAGACCGCAGAGAAATGCATGCCCCCCGACTCCCACTGCGAGGATTAGGTGAGCCTCGGCCCTGGGGAGGGTGGAGCAGTTGGGCACATGGGTGGAGAGGGTGGCAGTGTGAGTCACTCATCCACCTCCAGGCCCACAGGAGTCACCCTGGATGCCTGCCAGGCATTCCCAGCTGACCTGGTCAGACTCCCTCCAGAGGCTCCCTGGGCCCTCCCCTGTCCCCCCTCCTCCATTTATTTTGGTTTGCTGCCAGCCCCTGGGTAACAGGAGACCAATGAGAGCTTGCACAACCACAGCAGTGCAAAGCACAGCAGCCCAGGGCCCCCTAAGGTCCCTGGCTTAGGGACAGGAACGCTGGCTGAGAAGAAAAATAAATACTCTGGACGTTTTCTATGGACCATGTCCCTTATATATTTATGTTCACTATGAATACCCCTCTACTATTATCGCCACCGAACCCCATCCTCATTTAACAAAAGAGCATATTGAGACACAGAGACGGTAAGGTACAGCCCAAGAACACAGAGCATAGGAGCATCTGTTGAGTCGAACTGGCTGGCATCAAAAGGCCATCACTTACCATTGTACCCCTCTGCCCCTTTGCTGTTGCAACCACGTTGATTAGCATGGGGGAAGACTTAGAGGTCTCCGGTGAAGTCCTGTCCTCTGTCTCAGAGATATGAAGTGCTCCTGCTGAGTTTGCTCCTGACCGATGTGGGATCTATTGTCCCTCACTGTGTCTTCTGCTTCAGTCTCTGGGGTCGTGAGAATGGTAACACTAGGCTGTCAACCACAGGTTGAGTTGGAGTTCTCCCAGAGGCACCTCAAGAAAAGGGCTGGAAACCTGCTCCTGAAAAACAAGCTATTCTAAACCCCTCGGGGTCATTTGAAAAACTGGTGATGTTACAAGTGCAATTGCTTTATACCCCACAGGGATGACTGACAATGCTTTACTTTTCTGTTTCTATGGGGTTTTGTTTTCCTGCCTTTAGTGTGCTTGTTATTGTTTGTTTGTCTTTTGTTGTCTACTAGTTGATTTATTTCTGTTGTTGGTCTTATGGGGTATTGAATTTGCCATAAGGTGACCACCAAAGTAAACCAGAGTCATGTATATGCCAGGGACAAGCAGATGGATACTGGGCCCCTGTCTTAGGCAAGGTTCTCCAGAGAACCAAAACAAGAAAACTCATGAATATAGGTCAACAGATAGATGATAGATAGATAGATAGATAGGTAGATAGATGATAGATAGATAGATAGATAGATAGATAGATAGATAGATAGATAGATAGATAGACATATACAGCGGGAAGGAATATAACAGCTAATTTGTCCACACAGCAGTACAGAGGACTCAGCTTAACTCACTTTCATGGAATAGTTAATATACTGAAAGCTTTTCGACTCCATGTGGGCTTCTGGGTCCAAAGTCAAGGAAGCAGACAGTGGAGTCTTCCCTCAGGCCAGACAGGCAGAGTCTGCCACAGGCAGCAGACAGCAGGGTGGGTCAGCAACAGTCAGTAGCATGGGAGCTTAGCGAAGCAGGCCACATGAAATATTGAACTCAAGGGATTGATGCACAGTGACAGAATTCACCAACCTCAAGTTCAAGAGATGTAGACACCAGCAGCATGGCGAAGCAGGTCTCCAAGGAGCCTCAAGCTCTGATTGGCTTGGCCCACAGGTGGTGTAGCACACAGGTTGAGGCAGAGAACTAGGTAAAGCAGCAGCACGCTAGTCTGATAACTAGGGAGCAAGAGAGATATGGGGTGCCAGTCATCTTCATTTATCTCAGTAGCCCTCCAATCAAGCTGCAACCTGATCAAACTGAACCCACATGTTCCTATTGGTCAAGTTGGCACAGTAAACTAACTATCACAGCCCCCACTTAACTCTAGCCCCAGTCCAAGAACATTTATTTCTGAAAACATGGCCCTACTCGATACTCACCTTCATGAAATGATCACTGAAGATCAGGGTGCTACAGCAACGTGTGGTGAAAAAAGCAGATGGCACCCAGTTATCAATTAGAAAAGTGTCTGGGGTCTTAAAGGGCTGTATTCAAAGAAGCAGCCATCTAAGAGAGGAGTTAACGAAGTCCACATGGAAGAAGCAAACCAGTTTGCATGATCCAAAGACAACAATAACAAAATTCAAATTTGACAAAGGGAAAAGTATCAGAGTCTAAGTTGCAAATACCCAATTTGTAGAAGGCTATGAGGGACAATGGGAAATCCAAAACCAATCTGAACAGTATCTAGTCAGATTAAGCCACTGACAGATCCCCTCTAGCAACAGAAAAGTTTACAATAGAGGTATTGTAATCATGATTATACTGGATCAAACTTGACACTTGGTCAGTTGACCTCCCTCTTGGCCCAACCTGAAATTGTTCTAGGTGCAAGTAATTCTTGCTTGTTCCATGAAAAAAAATTTCTTCCCTGCCCTTTTAAATATTCATGGTGTTCTTTTCTTTCTTATTCATTACTTTTGTATTTTTATCTTAGTATTATTATTTTATCCTTACCACTTTATTTTGTTTCTGTTTTTTATTGTTTCTGTTGGTGTTACAGTTTATGAAGCACAGAAGGAGGAGATGCATAAAAATAAGAACTGATGCAAGTGTTTACAAAGGGGAAGGGGTGGGGGATGGAAGATAGGGCGGGTAAGGGGGTTGGTGGAGCAAACAGCATCTGTGGTAGTGGGAGGAAGCACTCAACTGATAGTAATTACACAACTCACTTTAAAAGTGATTTAGCCATGAAAAAAATTCTCCAAAATGTATTGTGCTAATGATTGTACTACTCTTCTTGATGTGATTGAACTATTGAATTGTGTAATATGTGGATTAAGTGCCAATAAGTGTTACTAAAAGATAAAAACCTTGGGCTAGTTCTACTCTCTCAAAGCCACCATGAGTCCAAATTAACTCCTGGTAAATTTTTTTTTAATGGTTTCTATCAAGGATCTATATGAAACTGTTATTTAGTAACTAACCCAACACTTAGTTCTCCTCCCAAGTCTTACTGCTGTGCTTCAGACCCTGGGTTCTCAGAGTGGGGCCAGCACCATCAACCAGACATGGCTAGTCCCCACCCAACCACTACTGCACCAGAATCTGCATTTCAACAAGACCCACAGGGATGTTAAGCTTGTTAACAAAATTACCAGAGCATTGAAATTTGGGAAGCCTTGTCTTTAAATTTTTATTTTATTGTTTTTCAGTGAAAGTTTACATAGCTGATTAAATTTCCATTTAACAATTGTTTGGTTTGATTATATTTTTTTCATTCCACAAGAAAACAGAAATAATTTAAAATACAATAAATTAAAATAAGTTAAAAGGAAAACAAATGATAAGATGTTCAATTTTAACCTAATTCTGTCTGCAATAATTCATGTTCTGACATACTCTGTCTTTAAGCAGGGCTTTTCCTGTCATTGGACTAGGACTAAGGGTATTTAATGGAGCCTTAGTCCCTGTGGGGTCTCTAAAAATGAATTTTAGGTTTGTACTGTCATCTATAACCTTCTGCAAACCGGATGCTCAGAATTCAAGTTCTTATACAGTTCCCTCCTCTAATCTTGGAGTTTATTTACAATCCCTGAATCACACGAGGGATTCTTCATGGGTTTAGCTGGGAAAGCCTTATATTAGCTGTATTAAATACAGTTCCAAGAACAACCACATGTTCCATATATCTGATCACTTGTGATCCAATAGCTAGTACCCTGAAGGACATTCCTGGGTAAAATTTCCACCATCCTTCTGGGAGGCCTGAGTTTGATTATGTGCCCATTCGCCTCCTGTGCACCTACTACCCTTCTGTCACCAGAGGCTTATGTGTTGCTATGAGGTTAAGTGATTCCTGAGGTGGACTAGGAATAAAGCCAGCCAATGAAAACTATTAGTATGACACTGGTCCCATGTTCAACTAGACCAGACAGCATTCTATTCTATTAGCATGGGGTCTCTCAGTATTGGGAGCAACTCCACAGCAGCTAGGAACAACAAAGTCAAAATATAACTTTAGTTTGTTTATAAAGAACATGGCTAGTCATAAGGTCCTATGTTTCACTGGAGGGAACTCATAGACAACATTCCTGCAGAGCCAAAAGCCCTTGGGCTCACCCCTATGTACATAAAAACACCCAGTTGGTACTGGTGACAGATGTACAAGATGATTAGCTTAATTCATGTTGCTGGGTTGTACATGTAACAAACATTTTGGAATGGTGAATATTTTATTATATATATTTTAGTCATTTTTTTATTAAATACTTTTACTGGGGCTCTAACTTCTCTTATCACATTGCCCTTGATTAAGCCCCACTAGGCATCCTACACCCTTGTCTGCATTGATTTTAGTTCACTTGTTCCCTTGACCCTGGGTTGTTTCCCCTTGCCCTTCCTTTCTCCCACCTCCCTTCTCCTATATTCCCCCAGAACCATTGGTCCCATTCTTTTCATCTCTGAATTGTTTATACCACCTATCTTATCTAGATAAACATAAGGAGACATTAATAAGTTCGAAGACCAGACAAAGCCAAACAAAACAACAAAGGAAGTCAAAACCAACAAAACAATAACTAAAAGAACCAAAAGCAAAATAACAACAAAAAAAAGAAAGCCACTGACAAAAATGGGAAAACCCATAAATAGTTCAAAGTCTGTTTGCTGGCCTTTACGAGGGTTTTCCAGTTGAGTCTGATGTGGTGCCTCCAAAGTCTAGCTTTGGTATTCCCTGGGGATTTCACCACTTTGCTCCCCTTGCTACTCTGTTGCACGCTCTTAGTGTTTCGCCCAGTGTGATGGGGTCAGATTGGCAGAAATCCAGCACTGTGTCACCAGTGTGTGCCCCCACAAAGCTATCATTCAGTGAGGGACGTCATGTCTCTTGGTGGGGTAAACCCTATGGTCCTCTCTGTGCGTTGTCTGCTCTGAGCAGGAATGTCGTCCTCGGGGCT